AACTCATGAACCGTGAGATCATGACCTGAGCCAAAACGAAGAGTTGGATGTTTGACTGAGCCACCCAGGCGCCCCTGATTTATCCATCTTTCTTGTGTTACTTGTGCTTTTGAAGTCATATCACGGAGGCTTTGACTAACTTGAGGTCAAAAAGACTTACTCCTATATTTTCATTTAAGTATTTTACATTTTTAGCTTTTATGTTTAGGTCTATGACCCATTTGGGCTAATTTTTGCAGGTGGTGTGATGAAAGAGTCCCAGTCCCTTCTTTTGCAGGTGGCTCTCCAGCTGTTCCAGCACCACTTGTTAAAAAGACTGTCCTTTCCTTGAGTTGTCTTCATACCCTTTCCAGAAATCGGTTGGCCATACGCTGACTGGACTCTCGATTCTTTTCCGTTAACCTACGTGTATTTCTGGACTCGCGATTCTGTCCCGCTAACCTACGTGTATTTCTGGACTCGCGATTCTGTCCCGCTAACCTATGTGCCCATCTGCAGGCCAGCGCCACGCAGTCTGCGTAACTGTAACTTCATGGTAACTTTCCAAACTGCAAAGTGTGAGTTTTTCAACTTCATTCTTTTTGTTTCGGCTATTCTGGGTCCCTTACATTTCCGTATGAATTTTGGGACCAACTTGCCAATTTTAGCAAACAGGCCAGCAGCAATTTCGATAGAGACTAGCGGTATCTGTAATCAGGGTGGGAAGCACTGCCATAGTAACAATATTAACTTGTCTGGTCCATGAACATGAATGTCCTTCCACATATTCTCATCTTCTATATTTCTTCTCCTGGGGAGTTTTCAAAGAATCAGTTTTATAATCGAAGGCAGTTTTTTAAAGGGACGTCTTCCTCGTTCCTACCACTTACGCACAAATGAAGAGGTGGACTGAGGACACAAACCATAGCCGATTAAAAAGACGTGGAGGAAACTAGATTCGGCCAAGTCACCTGAAGACAGTCACACAGTCTGTGGCACATTTTTATCCCAGTGAAGACTCAGAATGCTGGTTCTCACCGTGGCTGCACATTAGAATCATCTAGGAAGCTGATAAAAATCACGATGCCCAGGCTACACCTCAGGCCAATTACATCAGAACCTCCTGGGTGGTACCCACACGTTGGTTTTTTTTTTTTTAATTTTTTTAACGTTTATTTATTTTTGAGACAGAGACAGAATGCAAGTGGGTTGGGGCAGAGAGAGGGAGGCACAGAATCTGAAGCAGGCTCCAGGCTCCGAGCTGTCAGCACAGAGCCTGATGCAGGGCTCGAACTCACGAACTGTGAGATCATGACCGGAGATGAATTTGGACGCTCAACCAACTGAGCCACCCAGGCGCCCCCGTCGGTATTTTTAAAATATGTTGTTGAGGTGAAAACTGCTGAAGTAATGATAAGAAGTTTCAGGGACGCCTGGGTGGCTCGGTCAGTTAAGCGTCTGACTTCGTCTCAGGTCATGATCTCGCAGTTCGTGGGTTCAAGCCCCGCGTCAGGCTCTTTGCTGATGGAGCCTGCTTCAGATTCTGTCTCCCTCTCTCTCTGCCCCTTCCCCATTCATTCTCTCTCTCTCTCTCTCAAAATAAATAAACATTAAACACTTAAAAAAAAAAAAGAGAAGTTTCAGTGAAGTTTTCCATTTGTTCATATTTCTTTAAGAGTTTTTCATGTTCTACCTTATTCTAGAAAGGAATTAAGCAGACTGATAAAAATGTATAAACTAAGGGAAGACACAACAGCCAGGGTGAAAAAAGAAAGCAAAAGGAAGGTGAGGACAAAACAGAACCCCCAAAACGCATACTCTGATGGTCTCCACTTTCCACAGTGTGGAAGAAGGGATCAGTATCGTGGCATGGCCCCAAGTACTGATATTGAGGATATGTGGCAACTTGGCAATTATTTGGCAATGAGACCAAAGAGGAGCTCACCCAGGACGCCGCGCAGTGAGAACAGAGTGATGAGGGTGTACGGGCATCTCCCCGGCTGTGCTGGGCATTCAACTCGCCTACACCGAAATGCCATTACTAAATCTCACATAAACACACGAATGACAGCAAAGCCTAGGGAATCAAAGAACTTTCAAAACGCTAATCAAAGAAGAACTTTCAAAATGTGAACCCCAAAAGCCCTAAGGCAAATTCCCTGTAAAAAGACATAGCTACCTTGGTCTACAGTGAAGATTTTGTTCTTCCGTCAAAGCAATGACCGACCAAATTAGAAAACATATACTCTGTGTGTCTCCATCTCTCTCTCTCTCTCTCTCTCTTTTTTTTCTAATTAGAACCAAAGGTGACATCTGTTTAGATAACGTGTCTAAACGTGCTCAGCACCGTCCATCTCCCACCTGGTCCCTGTACCTGAATCTGTTCGTGGCTGGGGTGGTTTCCATGTTGAATTCGGCCACTGGCACTCCGCGGGCAGACACCTGGGGGGCAAACATGGCGGCAGGATAAACCACGGAGGAAGTTCCCACCTACAAAGCAAACAAATGGAAACGGACAAATGACCACGCTACGGGGAGAGGAAACATTCTTCCAGAAAACCTTACACAAACTCAGGCCAGTTTAGGGTTGCAAGATGTGAGGAAAGCTAGCTGGATGAAACAGATGGAGAGCTTCCAAGGGACAGATGGGGAGTTAAGAGGCATCCTGTCGGTTGATCACTAGAAGAATGTGCTAGGGAAAAGGGAGCACAAACGGAGAGAACGGCAGATCAAGGGCTCGGTTTTGTCTCTGCTCTGTGAAGTAATGCCAATAATCCATGTTCGTTTTTTTCTTTTCTTTTTTAACATTAGAAAACGCAAAGAAAAAATATACTCACGTTATTCATACTCCCGCTACCCTGTGATAACCACTGTTATACATCCTTTCAGGTTTTTCCCCATAGATGCATATGTTTAAGTGTGCTTTACAAGAATGGAAAGGCCAGAACATGTTGTACAAACCAGGTTTTCTCATTTAAGCACTGGTGATGAACAGACACTGAAACACTGGGGTGCACTCAATAAATACTGGCTGAATGAATGTGTACCCATGAGAAAGTGCTTCTGCTTTTAAAGATGTGTTAAGAAAACTCTGAAATATGCACACCCTCTGTCTAATTCATTCCATTTCTAGGAAATATGTCCCAAGGAAATGATTTGAAGAGTATGCAAGGAGTTATGTCTAAGAATAGTCACTACAGGGGCGCCTGGGGGGTTCAGTCGGTTAAGTGTCTGACTTCGGCTCAGGTCATGATCTCGCAGTTCGTGAGTTCGAGCCCTGCATCGGGCTCCGTGCTGACAGCTCGGAGTCTGGAGCCTGCTTCAGATCCTGCCCCTCCCCCACGCACGCTCTCTCTGTCTCTCAAAAATGAGTAAGCGTTAAAAAAAAATTAACAACAGGGGCGCCTGGGTGGCTCAGTCGGCTGAGCGTCCAAGTTCGGCTCAGGTCATGATCTCGCAGTTCGTGGGTTCAAGCCCCGCATCAGGCTCTGTGCTGATGGCTCAGAGCCTGGAGCCTGCTTCGGATTCGGTGTCTCCCTCTCTCCCTGCCCCTTCCCCACTCATGCTCTGTCTCTCTCTGTCTCTCAAAAATGAATAAACGTTAAAAAAAAATTTTTTTTTAAATTAACAACAAAAAAAGAATATTCACTACAGCATTATTTAAAATATCAAAATGTGAAATGGCCTAAATGTCCAACAATGGAGGATTGGTTAAATACATCCTTGTATATCCATGCAACAGAACACCATGCCACCAATGAAAAGATGATACAGATTTGTGGATGTACTGACACAGAATATGCCCGGTGAATCACTACATGAATAAAGTTGTTTCAAAGCAGAACATACAGTATGAACCCACTTTTGAATTTTTAACCATATGTATACATCTGCACAATAAAAGGTCTAGACCAGGAGTAAGGAAATGTTTTTCTGGAAAGGGCCATATAGTAATATTTTTAGGATTTATAAGCCATACAGTCTCCATCACAAATAGTCAACTCTGCCATTGGAGTGTGAAAGCAGCCATACACGATACATAGAAGAATGGGCATGGTTGTGTTCCAATAAAACTTTATTTACAAAAACAAGTGGCAGCCTAGATCTGGCCCACCGGCCACAGTTTCTCACCTCTGATCTAGGAAAAAATACACTAAAATGAACAGTGGCTATTTTTGGGTGGTAGAATCATTGGTGATTTCTAATTTCCTCCTTATAATTTTACACTTTTTTGTGTTTTCTCAAATGTAATAATGAACATGTATTACTTTCAAAATCAGAATCAATAACATGCTCTTTTCATTATTTTTGGCAGGAGGGGAGTGTCTTTGCAAAGCCCAAGACACGGTCTTCCGCAGTTTCACATTTACGATCAATTCGTATTCGTTGTTTCTTAATTCTTCTGTAGGGTACAAAACCTCTCAACACACACAGTAGGAAGAGGAGGAAGGAAGGAAAGGGAAGAGAGAGGGAAGGAAGGAAACATAAAAAAACACAACAAACTCCACCCCAGTCCTGGTGTTCCGGAAAATCTCGAGGATCAGGGGAGGGCATGACTTACCACTAGACATAAGTCACAGAGGGTCAGCTCTCTGTCAACCTCCTCCAGAATGGCAGGATCCAGGTTTTCGCCAAACCACACCACGTGGGGTCGCAGCAGGCCCTCGCACCCCGCCTCTTCACACCTGTGGGAACATTATCCTTCACCCAACCCCAACACCTGCCCTGCAAGAAGATCTGCCCCACTGGATCAGAGGAAGGCTAGGGGCTACCCCAAATCAAGTCTGTCGCCCTCTTCCTTGTTATCCTCCCTCCCTCCCCTTCCAGACCATGTGAGCTTATTCTGAATATTCAGGCCCTTCTAAAGCTTTCATTTTGTCCGGATGCACTGGGCTGATATGTTGACAGCTGTGTTTCAGCCAACCTTACCATTCTCTTTCTAAACCGTGTTAAAAAAGAGAGACCACAGGCCCAAAATGGAGTCCCATGGGCTAAGCCCCATATCAGCAAACCAAGACTTAGTACCTAACCTAGCTGTATATCCAGCCTCTCCAGGGCCTGTGGTCTTTAACCAGTCAATCTGGAGCCACTTGGTCAGCACTAGTGGGGTAACCCGCCTGAAACACCCCTTGGGTCCCCAGAAGGAAGGTGACCTTGCCCGAAACAATTCCCTCTTTGCCCGAAGAACTTCCTCGCCCTGCCTCTTCCACCTATAAACGTCTTCCATTGTGTGCAGCTCCTTGGAGCTTCTGTCTGCTACGTGGGGTGCTGTCCGGTCCATGAATCTCGGATGAAGCCAACTGATCGACATGGACTCGGCTGGATGTGGGGTTTTAACCACAGCTTTCCCTTTCCCAGCTACGCCATCGCACTCTTCGGCATGGCAGCCGGGAGGAACCAGGCTCAGCCCTGCCTCGAACACACCAGCCACCTGCTAGTCGCATCTGTGTCCCCCTTTCACTTTCCCTCAGATTCACCGTTCTCTTGCCCTGGGCACGGCCAAGTTCGCCATCTTCCTCTTCTCCCACTCCCCACTGCCTGTGGGTCATCTTACGTAGACCTTCTACAACAACCTCCCAAACCTCACTTTCATCATAAATAATCTTCTCAAGAACTGCCCACGATTCCCTATTGTTTTAGATCAAACTTTAGGATTCAGTAATAAAAACCCTTATTAAGAATAATAAATAGGGCTCTGGGGCGCCTGGGTGGCTCAGTCGGTTGAGCACCCAGCTCTTGATTTCAGCTCAGGTAGGTCATCATCTCAGGGCCATGGCATCGAGCCCCGCGTCAGGCTCCACACTAAGAGCACAGAGCCTGCTTGGGATCCTCTTTCTCCCTCTCTTTCTGCCCCTCCCCCACTCGCTCTCATCCTTTCTCTGTCTTCTCAAAATAAGTAAATAAAACACTTAAATTAAAAAACGTTGAAAAGAATAATAAATAGGGTTCTGTGGTTAAATAAACTAGTGAAATATTCACAAATTATAACTGTTCTTTAAAGAACAGTGTACTCTGGTGTATTAAATGCTCTGAGAAGTCCTGCAGTAAAGCAAACATACTTCAAATTTGTTTACTCTACGGTTTCCATATTTATTTGAACACATAACATCATTTCTTAAGTAACGTCCATCAACATCACATGGGTCGAGTGTTCTAAGAACACTTTGGGAAATGGCGTTGTAACGTCTGCTTTTGAAAAACCGACACAAAAATCTTTCTCTAGGGCTTTTCTTATATATTTTTTTTTTATCTGCAAAAATCCTGTTTGGTCCTATAATTTCGCTTTTGCAAGACCTTTTACTGCCTCCTTTGCCCTGGGCTAATAACACACAACAAGGAGGAGAATGAAGATGATACCAGCTAACATTTTCACAAGACGTCCGCCTCTACGCTTCGTAAGCACCAGGTAAGCAGTTGGGGCATAACAGCTCCAGAAACTTTCCAGGACTCAAATTATCCCACCACAGTGCAAAGCAAAAAGGGACAGTGCAAAGCAAAAAGGGACGGGAAGGCAGTGGTTCTCCTCGCCCTGGGGTGGTTCACCTTCAACCTTTGGCCCCTGTCCGTCTGCATTTGTGCACTTAAGAGGCATCTCAGCAAATGAACTTAGATTTTGATTGTTTGTTTTTTTTTCCATCTGGAAAACCAAATACGGATCAGGGATTTTTACCCACCGGGGAAGTTTCTCCACTGGGATTCTGGCATCCTGAGCTTCAGGTTCTGGAGCCCTGGAGTAAGTGATGTTAGTAAAGAAACAATGACATTGGTATAATCAAAGAACAGAGAGAAAACATAACGTAAGTCTGTATATTCGCCTGGCGGTATACAGCTCCCAAACTCATAGTCAATACAAGCTGACTTAGAAGGGTACTGGAAGGGCAGACACCACACAGTTAACAACCAGTGATTTTATGTCAGAAAAGGGAATTTGCATGTGGGGAAGGGGCGGAGCCACCAGGATGTTAAGGGGGAGCTTCCTGATATGCACTGTATACATCATCATTGGAATCTTCTGCGAGGATACTGGATTCATATATTACCTATATAATTTATCCTAATTTAAAATGGCCAGGTAAGGGGCATCTGGGTGGCTCAGTTGGTGAAGCGTCCAACTTCAGCTCAGGTCATGATCTTAAGGCTTGTGAGTTTGAGCCCCGTATCAGGCTCTGTGCTGACAGCTCAGAGCCCGGAGCCTGCTTTGGATTCTGTGTCTCCCTCTCTCTGCCCCTCCCCTGCTCACACCTCTGTCTCTCTCTCTCAAAAGTAAATAAACATTAAAAACATTTAAAAAAAATTTTTTTAAATGGCCAGGTAAATTTTTTCTCAATATTTCGAGTCTACTCTTATTTTTTTCCCTAGTTATAACAGTACATGCTCATCACAGAAATGTTAGAAAAACTCCAGAAAGATATAAAGAACTAATCAAAATTACCCATAACCCCACTATTCTTGATAATCACTGTTAATATTTTGTTGTCTTTTCTTCTGGTCTGTTATCTCTATATACCAGGTATACCAACATGGGGTGTGCGTGTGTTTGTATGAGTGTGTGTGTGTGTGTGTGTGTGTGCACGTGCATGTGTTTAAATATGAAGTTTGGATCGTATTAGATAAGAGTTAGGTCCTGTGGTTTTCACTTGGCATTGTAAATTTTGAGCAAAATAGTTCTTTTATCCTATGGCTGTACTGTAATCTAGTCTCATTTCTCCTAACTATCCACAGGAATCTTAGGCTACTGTTCAATTTCCTTCCGTTTATGTTCAACTTAAAAGAGAAAACAAAGTAGAGCAGTGTCATTACCCTTTTCCCAATAAAGCTGGACAAATGGGACTCTTGTAATTCTCCACCACAACTCCACAAGAGGTACATCGGGTTTTAAATAAGCTACCTGAAAAACACAAGTTAAACAAGACCAGAATTTAGCATAATTAGAAGGAACTGTCTCCATGTCTAAAGGGGTACAACAGAATTTAGTTTTTATTCGTTCATTTCAACAAACGGGCCTGCCCTAGGTGTCAAGGGAAATCCAAAGGCACACAGTTCTACTGAGCCACGGACATCTGCCTCCTGGATTTTGTAATCTGGAAGGGAGAGAGACAGATAAAATGACTTACGGCATGATTAAGGAGCTCTCAAATGATCCTGATGTTGAGGCGGACTTGAAGGTGGTTAGTAGGGTACATGAAGCCAGCGTAAACCCAAGGGCGTGGTTTACTAGGTACATGACTGACGAAGGCTCAAAACGTTGGATGTATTGGCAAAATCCTACCGTCGACTCAACAAATCTTGAGTCTTTCTACAAAAGCAGCTCAGTAAATACATGAGCAACTAACAAATGAAGCAAGTAATTGTTAAAACTAGCAACCCATTTATTGAGCTAAAGCAACGACGGTGACCACGATTCACTAAATGTTCACCACGCGCCAGAGTGGACGTCCACTGCTCCATTCTGCCCAGTATTCCTTCCTCGGGGAGCCATCTCTCCTCTATCCCGAGTGGGTGGAGCTGTCAATCCCATCCCCAAATACAAGCTTAGGCTCACGCCCCCGACTGGTCCAATCACGGTACCGTAATCCTCTGGTAATGGCCTTCGGTCACAGGGAGGTATGTGACCCAAGCAAGGTGCCCAGAGCGGCCAACAGCTCCCTTCACTGGCCTGGCGCACGGAGGCAGACCGCATGCACGGGGGGAAGTGAGGTTTTATTCAAAGAGTCAACAAAGCTGGGGTGGGGGGCAGAGCAAGAAGAGACTGTTGCTCACGACATCAGCTCCAACCCGGGACTCCCGGGTTCTGTGAGACAACATCCCTACTTTGTCAGTTTCGGCAAGGCCATTCTCCCCCACGTTAGTATCTCTGAAATCGCATGTGTCCTACGACCGCTACCCGGCGGGAGGACGGATGTGAGGCGGCCGTCAGAGCCTGTTACAGGAGAACAGAGCCTGTTACAGGCCGTCAGAGCTGGCACACCTGTTACAGGAGAACGATGATGGCTGAAATGTGTGGGGACATGGCTGTTATTCCCCAGGGACTGCTGGGGCAAGGGCCAGCCCTGGATGTTTCAGCCCACAAACCAGCAAAGGGCCATTTGGGGGAAGAAAACGAGTTCGGGTTGTTGTCTAGAACATTCCCCCCGACACCTGTTGGTGTCGATCCAGGAAGGCCCAATATCAGACTTCCAGGATGTGTGTCAGCAGCTTGGAGGGGAACCCGGAGACGAGCGGGGAGCAGCCTTTTAGGAAATGCATGGAAAACACGCCTGGAAAACACTGACGCCTTGGAGTCATTCAGAAGTGATTCGAAAGAGTCGGAACGTGAGAAGTATCTTAACCACTTTATTTCACTCATTTTCATATGTGCATTTTTATATTTCACTGTTTTTTATATGTGCAAGGGTGATACAGTTTCTAAAAATCTGTGTCTATGTAAGTTTTAGTAGGCCATTTCGGTAAGTGCAAAATAACAATGCTCAGGGATAATAAAATATGATGGCTTAGGCAGACTATTTCCTTTGCGAGGGTCACACTGAAAACACGATACATGTTAAAAATTGGTGGCATCTTTAGTTTGATGAAAGAAGGGGCTTTCTTTTTTTTTTTTACCTAAATCAGAATTTTTTTTGAATGTTTATTTTTGAGAGAGAGAGAGAGGCAGAGAGAGAGAGAAAGAGACAGAGTGTGAGCAGGGAAGGGGCAGAGAGAGAAGGGAGACCCAGAATCCAAAGCAGGCTCCGGGCTCTGAATGGTCAGCACAGAGCCCAACGCAGGGCTCGAACTCATGAACCGTGAGATCATCACCTGAGCCGAAGTTGGCTGCTCAACCAACTGAGCCACCCAGGCGCACCTGTTTTTACCTAAATTAGAAGAGAGTTCTTATCGCTTGCAACCCCGTAAGTCCCAACTAATAATATGTACATATCGTCTTATTTAATCCTTCAAACAACCAAGACAGGTGTTAACACCCCCATCTGACACATTTCTACATGGCAAGAGACACCGCCTGCATTCTGATAGTGTAAAGAAACCAGAGGAGCCACGTGGACAGTGGCCCAGACCCAGCAGGAGAAGGTGCCAACAAGACACTGGGTCAGCAAGTGGCTGACTATGGCTAGGGCACAAAAGAGGGACGGGACCCAAGTGAACAGTGCTCGGTTTCCTTATCCCAGGCAAAAACAGGCAACTTCACTGCATACCCAAGGAAACCAGCCACATTCCCCCCTGGGTCACCACTGCTGGAAATTCCACAATTAGCAATGCGTTGCTTGGGATGGAAGTTTTGTAGACTCTTAAATACAAATGCCCTTGGGATTATGCTCTTGTATGAATGAATGTGAAACTGTATGAGTTTACGAGATTTTTGGTGAGCTCAAAGGAGGGAGAGGATTAAAGAGGACGTGAGGGAGACGGTGTCATCAAGGGCAGAGGGAAGCCAGCGGGACGTAAGACAAACTCCACAGGTGTCACAAACCTGGCGGGCTTGGTCACTGATCTGTTGAGAGCTGGGCAGAGGCTCAGCCTCAGGGGACAGGCCAGCTGGGGAGGCGGGGAAAGGAAACGGCCACCCCCAGGAATGCCAGAGTCTTCCCGGGCGGCTCCTGCCAAAGCTGTAAGTTGTTCGATGGCCCATACTTCCCTCTTCCCACCAGCCTCCCTAGGCACTCGCGTCTCTGCCGTGTGACCCGCACACCAGACGCCTGGGTGTCCTGTCAAAGTGCAGACTGTGGTTCGGTGGGTCCAGGTGGGAAATGGCAGGACACGTGTTTTGAAGTCTGGTTCCCCTCCCCACGCGAGGGCGCCTCACCGTGGATTTCCAGAAGGTTCTTGGTGCCAGCCTTGCGGTGCAGCTCATCGATGTTTTGAGTGATGACCACAAGCCGGCGGCCCTGCCCACGCAGCCGGGCCTCACATTCAGCGATGGCGAGGTGCCCGGGGTTCGGTTCCTTGCTCAGCATCACCTCCCGCCGGTAGTGGTAGAACTCCCACACCAGGGATGGGTTTCGCGCAAAGGCCTGAGGGGTGGCCAGGTCCTGGGGGTGAGACAGGAGACACGAGTCAGAGAAGGAAGGGTGCACTAAGGCTCTGGAACGTGGAGGCAGGCGGATTCCGGGGGGAGCGAGCTGGAACACATCCGCCTTAGGCCCACGCGGTGTGGCGGACGGGGCACAGGGGCCTGGGCACCAGCCTCCATCCTAATCCTGGGACCAACAAGGGACCTTGGAGAAACTGCTTTTCATTTCCCCACTTCCAAGGCAGGGATAATGCAACCTGTCCCATTTTCCACTCGAGTAAATTATGACCAGGAAGTAAAGCAATATTATGCAAGAAAGTAATTCAGGTTGAATCTACTCTTTTCATGGAGTCCCAAAACATATGAGGTCCCTTTCATTGATGCAGGAAAAAAAGTGAAATACAAAATGCCCGATTGATCATGGCCACAGTTGACAAACTCAGTTTTTTATAACTATAATTATGGCTCCGCACACACACACACAACTACACACAGAAAGAACAGGGGCGCCTCGGGGGCTCAGTTGGTCAAGCATCTGATGGTTGGTTTCGGCTCAGGTCACCATCTCATGATCGCAGGTTCATGAGCTCGAGCCCTGCATCGGGCTCTGGGCTGACAATGCAGGGCCTGCTTGGGATTCTCTCCTTCTCTCTCTTCCTCCCTCATTCTCCCACTCTCACTCTCCAAATAAATAAACTTAAAAAAAAAAACAAAAAACAGTGCACATATTAACAGAATATATAAAAATATATAAATATTTTTTTAACGTTTATTTCTTATTTTGGGGACAGAGAGAGACAGAGCATGAACGGGGGAGGG